TTCATATCATAATTTCTCCTCTATATGTAACTCTTCTTTTTATGTTGTTGGTCACCTAGCACAACAAAAGATGAAAAACTCCTCACAATGTGATTGACTGCACCCAAGTGGTCCGACAGGCTGAAAAATAAAAGACACAGTTAGCGCCGTGACTGAGTGGTCAGCCACGAACACCAACCGGCGCAGCTCCCACTCATAGGGTCACATTTTTCCAGCCCAACCACAAGAAAACTTTACAAATTATATTTATAAATGTTAAATATTCTTACAGTACCTTGTTAATAGTTGAACTAGAAAAATATGACCCTAAGTAAAAAAAGAAGTGAAGAGCTGCCTCTCTCGCACCTACCTCCACCAGCGCTCCTCAGAATTCTGGTGGAGGAAGCCGCGAGAGTGCCTGACGGACCCGTTGCATGCAGTCACTCATCACACCACTAGGTGGCTCCAAACAAACGCATTGATCAAAAATACATACAACCATCACTATAATCATTTCGATCAAAACTCACACAGACACACGAGCTCTTCTCTCTGTTACATATAGCTTAGAAAAGTTCTTAAAGTTTGAGTAATCAATTTATGGATCAGGTTGTCATGCAAGAAAGGCATGACAACCCGCATGACGTCATGCCGTCATTCTCACTGAAATATGAGAATAGCAGCAGAAACGGTCAGAGATGTAAAGGCAAACATCATGAGCGCCTTATACTTTCCAACTGTTGTTGGTACTTATACTTTCCAACTGCTGTTGGAAAGTATAAGTACCAGCAAACCTCCAGGAGATATAAACCCCAAACATTCACAGGATTAATGTTGTTCTACTGTTCCTGATTGTCCCAGGCTTTCCTCACCATCATGTCTGGTGCTAACAGCGAGGTTCCTGCTGATCAAGTTCTCACAACTGAAGAGAGAAACTCCACTCTTGACCACAAGATGTCAAATGCCATAAGAATAAAAGAGGAACAGGAGGAACCAGAACTGCAGCAGATGGCCGAGACAAAAGAGGAGCCAGAACCCGAGCCAACTAAAGAAGAGCATATTGAACTGTGGGTTTTTCAGGAAGAGGGTCAGATGTTAGTGATGCAGAAAACCAACACCTTCGTTGTGACGCCCACTCATGAGGAAATACTCTACAACATACCAGGACTGCCGCAGGTGACGGAGACGAAGGAAGAACCAGAACCTGTGCTGATTAAAGAAGAACAGGTGGATCCGTGCAGTGATCAAAATGAAGTTCAGCTTCATCTTCACATGAAGCTGGATACTGACAGCATCACGGTGACTTCTACTGATGAGCAAAATAACAGCAGTGATCCAGAACTACACAAGACCCAGCTCCTTCCTGCAAACCGCCCAGAACCAGAGAACCAACATCAGCAGGGAAGCAACCAGGAAGACTCAGGAAGAGGAGATCCAAGTCTGAGACCAGAGAAGAGACGTCAGGACACCAAAAGTAACAGGGTCGATGTGAACAGTTCAGAACTAAAAAGACAGAAAACGGATACGGCTTCTTGTGAAATATGTGGTAAACTCTTCAGAATGCGTCAGCACCTGCCTGACAACACAAAAATCCACACGGGTGAGAAGCTGCATCCTTGTGAAGTGTGTGGTAAAGCTTTTAGACGCAGAGGTCATTCAAATAAAAACAAAAGAATCTGCACAAGTGAAACTCCCAAAACCTATAAACTACTTGGGAAAACGTCTAGCGACCAAGCTAGTAAAGTGGAAAACACACAAGAGAAGCTGCATCCTTGTGAAGTGTGTGGCAAAGTGTTTAAAGCATGTGACCGTTTGCCTCATCACCTTCAAAAACGCAGAGGAGAGAAGCCTTTCTCAAGTCAGACTTGTGGAAAAAATTTCACCTGGAACTCTTCAGCTTTACATATAAGGACTCATACTGGTGAGAAACCACTTCCTTGTGAAGTGTGTGGTAAACATTTCAAATAAATTCTTGGTTTGAGCGATTAATCGTTTTAGAGATGTCAGCAGTGGAGCTTGTCTCTGTCACACATGGCTGAAAACACCTTCATGCAACTGAATTGGCTGATAAATGAGCAATCTGAGCATCACAGAGGTTCTGAATTGGAGTTGTGTAATTTCCGATAAGATGTTTTTATTTTTTTTATTTAAAAGTTTTGTCTTCAAATACACATTCATATGAAGCCAACAGGTAACAAATTGATAACAGGAGGTATAAAATGATGTATTTCAGCCAGAAATACACACATTGAGGAAAAAAATCTGTTCATTATGTTTTAAATTCAGCATTTTATAGAAAATAAGTTTTATGTGAGTAGGCCGTGACCTTTGTATTGGAATTTATATTTTAAGTAAAAAGTGAAATGGAAAGAAAACTGAAAAGATACTTAGAACGAAAGTCATAACTTTATGCAGCTGAACAGAAATAAAACTGAAGTTCTCTTTGAACCAAAGAGGAGCGATCTAGAGTCGGCACACCGCTCCAGTGATTACAGCTGGAAACTAGAGATCAGGCTGAACTCTGACCTGAACCTTCAGAGCCACATAAAGACGGTTACAAAGTC